GTCTGGGCTGAAGAGTTCCAGTGTGAGGGACAGGAGCCTGGCCTCTGGTTCTGCCCCAGAGTGCCCTGTCCTGCTGGCAACTGCTCCCACAGAGGGGCTGTGCAAGTTTTTTGCTCAGGTGAGACTGGCAACAGGACTTTAACCTCCCTACACACTCTATGGTCATAAGAAAAATGTGAAATTTTGCTAAACCCTGTCTTCTACCAGGATACACAGATATTCGGCTCATGAAAAATGGGAGCTCTCAGTGTGAAGGTCAAGTGGAGATGAAGACCTCTGGAGGCTGGAGAACACTTTGTGCCTCCCACTGGAATATGGCCAATGCCAATGTAGTTTGTCGTCAGCTGGGCTGTGGAGTGGCCATCTCCACCCCAAAGGGAGCATACTTTGTGGAAGTAGGAGATGAGATCTGGAGAGACCGATTCCACTGCTCAGGGTCTGAGTCCTTCTTGTGGAATTGCCCTGTGACTGCCCTGGGTGTTCCTGCCTGTGCCCATGGAAACACAGCCTCTGTGGTCTGCTCAGGTAAGAGAGGTCAGGGCTGACTGGTACTTGAGTGGCATGTCTCTAAGAGCAGACATCATGGAAAGCTGACTTCAAAAATGTGACATTTTGTGATAAACCATGTTTCTTAATGATCATTCATCTTCCAGCCCTGTCAAGAAATATTAAGAGGATTTGTTTTAAGTAAGAATTATAATTTATTGAAATTCATAGATAACACTATATAACAATGAATGACAGCTCTGACATGTTCCTCACCTTGGACGATCAGAGAGTATCAGCAGCTCCCAGAAGTCACCCTCACATCCCTCTCTCTAGTCACTGTGCCCTCCTCCCCTCCAAAGAAGACCACTCTAACTTTTGTTGCCAAGGAATTTTGTTTTTCAAGTTTTGAGCTTTATAGAAAATCATGCACCATGTTCTCTTTTTGGTTTACTTTGACTCAACAAAACTCTTAGAATTTACCCATATTTCTATTTTTATCTTAGTCTAATTTTTATTGCTGTAGAGTTTTCTGCCAAATAACCATAGGATCACATGTTGAACAATTCAAATGATTTGGAGATTTAAGTTGTTTGCACTTTTTGAGTACACAAATAATGATCCTATAAAGTACCATGTCAATATTGTTGGGTGCAAATATGGATATATTTGTATATCTTTATTAATCCTTGTCCTATAATATGTCCCCTCTTTATATATGGTCTTCTTTCTAGAGTCAAATTCTTGTTCATAATGAAGCAGAGCATATCAACATTTGCTGCTCTCATAGTTTTCTAGTGTAATATTAAAAATAAATTTGCTATCATAAGATCATAAAAATATTCTTCAAGAGTATTTTATACACATTTAGTTACCTTTCTTTACATATAGTTGCACAATCTTTCTGGAATTGGTATTGTATAAAGTGTGTG